AACACTTCTTCCACGAGTTTAAGTGCCTCTGCCGTCTTCCCTTCCTTGCACAAAGCATCCAACATAGAATTGAATGTAACAACATTAGGCAACGCTCCACAATCAATCGTGTTTCTAAATAGCAGCACAGCTTCTTCCCACTTACCAGACTTGCATGCTGCAGAAATTAAGGAAGTAAAAGTGAAAACATCAGGCTTTATGCCTTTGTTTTTCATTTTTTCAAACAGAGCAAGTGCTCGTGTCCAAAGACCCATGTTGCATAATCCATAAATTAATGAAGTGTAACTGATGATATTTGGCGCAACGCTTTTGTTGATCATATCTCGAAATAGGGTCAGCGCCTCATCTATTCTTCTATCTTTGCATAAGCAGTCAATGATTGGATTATAGCATTCAGGGTTAGGCTGAAACCTTCCATCTTCATACATTTGCTCGAGTATCTCAAGCGCCATACATGTTTTCCCATCTCTGGTAGTAGCGTAAGTGATTTCACTGCATGCTAATCCTTTCTCTTCTATTTTCCGGAGTAACTCCATTGCCTCAGAGAGCGACCTATACTTGCAAACCCCATGAAGCAAAGCGTTCAAAGTATAAGCATCGGGCTGAAGACCATGTTTAAGGATAGTTGCTAAAACAGAGAAACCCAAGTCCACCCGATTCATACGGCACAAGCAATTGATAACAACATTCAGTGTATCGACTTCCGGGTGTAAGCCAACACAAGCCAGCATCTGTTTATACATAGAAACTACAGTGAAACACTGATTCATCTTGGAGAGTGCCCCAAACAAATGATTAATAGCCGAAATCGAGGGAATGGGTTTCATTTGAATTACGGAATCGAAGTGACCCAGTGCTTCATCTAACCCAAGATTACCAGATTTACAACGCGCTTTTACCAAATCCTCAAAATCAATGGTTTCCTTAACACTAACAGTATGAGAACGATTGACAGCAAAAGAGCAAAACTGGCTTCTGAAAAAGACGAGCCCAAACACAGAATAGAGAGAAGAAGGATTACCCTTTTGGAGAAGCGTGAGCCCTGGAGCTCTTTTCGCCATAATTTTCGTCATCATCGACCAGCTCCTAAGGCAGAGCAAGCAATTCACGATTTTTTTGGTCGAAATGAAAGAAATTTCATTGGCAAAACAAAGATAAACATAACAAAACAAAACTCAACCTAAAATACCAAAATAAGAGGCCCAAAACAACAAAAGCCCACAAAATAAAAAAAATCCCAACACCTAACTCTAAACAGAACAAGCCGCTGTCGCCGCCACAAGAAGAGTAAGTGAGAGGGTTTGGTTGCTTCAATTTTATGTCCATTTTTAACAAAGTGATATTCTAAATTATATTTTGGAATTTACATATGGCGTGGCGACGCTAAAGTGGGTCAAACTCTCCTCTTTCCCAAGTCCTTAAAACTGAGAAGGAGTTCCTCTTGTAAGGACTCAATTGTAAATACCACATCAACCACATATATATCTTCAGAAAGTAAAGATGAAAACTTTTCCTGACCCTATCTCAGCATAAGGCGATCATCTTTAGAAAATTGAATGTTTGCGAAATAGAAAAAGGCGATTGATACAAAACCCTGTGAGGAGTGTGCTGCATCTGAGGCTTTGATCTTAAAATTATGCACGAGTTTATTTGACATCAGTCACTGAAAATTCAAAAGCAACAGCTATATAGCTACAAGTGTACTGTAAACACATAGGACTGTCAAAACCAAATCGAAATCCAAACTTGCACATGTGTGATCACGAGTCTGATCGACAACGATAGTACTTAGAGCAGCCTCTGTTGTGAGGGTTAGATGGAGGAGGAAGGCAGCCCCCTGTTTTGCTATAAGCTTCGCCTTTACCGCCGCCATTGCAAACTGGCTGGTCCGGCTTTAAAGCCCCAGGTGAGATGTATTTCTTGGTTCCAAGAATCCTCCGGCTTATCTCCGACTCCATCAGCAACTCGCCTTCTCTGTCACACTCTGCTATCGAAGCATTGCACGATGTGTGTGAACTGCTCATCCATGTGGCAGCTGTGCTGAAATAGGGAAGGCCAAGGACTAGGAGAAGGAAGCAAAGTTTCAGAGATAAAGACACCATTTTGTTGTGTGTGTGTGGCTTCCCTTTCTTCCCACTTTCAACCACTTTATAGAGAATCACATTTGTTTTCCCCTTTTTTTTCTTTTAGAAAGATGGTTAGTGGAATACGCATTATGAAAAAGCAGAGGGACCGCACTTCAACAAACCTGAAATTTCACTCAAGCATGTATTTTATTTTCCATGTGTGGTTAAAAGTTTCAACCAATGTTTGGTTACAGAAGAGTAAAAAACAATTAGTATATAGTCAACAATTTTTTATTATTATTAGGATTCTCATGTTACCTCACCTACCTTTTGTGTTGAAAAAACCCCTTCTTCTCCGATGGAAGCCTTAATTCTCGTGGTTAGTAATTCAAATGGTAATCATATCTCCTAAAGAAAAAGAAAAATTAAATTAAAGAGTCGTAAGTTGTCGAGTGCGGTTACCACAGTGATTGTGGCCCTCCTTCTTCCCTTGCTTGGCACCCAGGATCAAAACTCCTGATTTCTTTCCTTTAAATGTAACCGGAAAAAATAGAGTCGTAAGTTCAAAAAAAATATTATTTCTCTCTCAAAGTTACATTTTGAAATATTAAAGGACTGGCATTCCAATTTCTCAATAAGGATTAGATATTCTAGAGAAACTAGAATAATTGGGATAGGTAAATCTACATGATTATGCTTGTGCTTGCATAGAGTATCAGCACAAAAATTAGTACAGAAGCTTATTTGGCAAAAACTTGCATCGGTAGTTTTATCTGATTGTGAAAGAATGGGATTAAAAGTGACAATATTACAATAGTTTAAGCTCTTAATTCCTTCACCAAGTTCATGCATACACTCTCTAGTGGTCAAGCTCTGCACCTGTAGATTTTGGAGCAGGCTCTATACCTAGGGTTTGATGGTGGAGGGAGACAACTGATGCCGTAGGGTTTTCCTCGTGGACCTTTACAAACCGGCAGATCCCTCTTGAGAACTCCTGGAGATAGAAATTTTTGCACTGCAAGAAACCTCCTACTTGTTTCGGACTCCATTTTAAACTCTTCACCATTTTCACCACTGCAATGTTCTTTATATCCATCGGTGCCGGTTTCTGTAGCACTGGCTCTTGAATGAGAGGCCAGAGCTTGAAGAAGTAGTGGGACTAGAAGTGCTGCAAGCATGATGAATAGGGAAAAGGTTCTTCTAACCCTACTCTTCATCTTCATTCGTTTGTCAAAGCTAGCTTTAAAAATGTACCATTTATAGCTTGGTTGCCTTTATTTTTTTCTCTCTGTTTTTAAAAATGTATCTGCTTGTGAGCAATTTTTGTTTGAATCTTTGTGGGTCATGGTGTTTCCTAGTGGGGTTTCTACACGTAAGAGTAACAGAGATAAAAAGTTTGATTTTGCTGAGCCATTAGTAATTCATGACATCTCGTGTGTGGGGAGATGAGTTTTTTCCAGGTTGTTTGAAATTGGAACCACAAAAAAGCCAAAGGAGGTCGTGTCATGAAGACACTAATATGTAACTTGTGTCCAAATAGGTTTTGCAGGGAAGTACCAAAATAATTGGACCCCTGTCAAATCTGTGATGGGCTAGTTTGTTTCTTTTCTGTGACCTATTCAAGAGGCAATTGGAACAGTTAACTAATAATCATTTCACTGAAGGGCATGTAGTGAAAGGAAAAAAACAAGAAGGGAATCTTTGTTGCCCTTTGTGTCCAGCAGCCCTTTCATGTTTCAAGTTTTGATCGAATGCAACAGCTTAAGGTGTATGCCCAATACCCAGAAGTAGAAGAAACCAGACAAGATCGAACATCTTCACCTATAATGACCTAAATGAAGTTTTCACTAGTTAAAGCATTTGCCATTAGGCCCATAGAACCTACTTGAATTACCAAGTAGTCTTTGATCTAGTGGTATTTGTCTCTAGTTGGTTAGAGGAGGTCTCAAATTCAACTCACATGAATGACGAAAATGATATATATTTGTGATGAGTTTGATATATCTAGTTGTGAGTATACTAGCTCGTTATAAAAGTATCTTGCAAATATCCTATCGTTTGTCCCAAAAAAAAAATTATTTAGTAGCTGTATTTAATAGCCAACGGGTAACTGACCATATAACTAAAACTCTTCACACACTTTAATATGGAAATCAAGGTAAAACTCCACTGTTTAAAGCATATGGCATAAATAATTTTATGCAACAAAGATGGTATCAAGCTCAACAATGACCTTTGTAGAAATTAGAAACCAACAAGAATTTGAGATACTGGATACGAACAAATCACAAACTCACAAAGGTAGATCCAACACTTGATAAAGAGAAAAAAGTAACAAAGCATTTAACCAATGATGCCAAATGTAGGGCATCCCTGTATCAGAGTCTCCCTAGCAAATATAAAATGCAATCATTCAAATGCTCCACTCCTAAACTCCATCTTGCAATCATTGGCTGACAGATAAGGATAAGTCATCAGGTCAAGTGGCCATAAATCCAAAAGAAAACAGCATTGGTGGTTGGCTTGGTCTTCTTTGCTATGTGCAATTTCAAACATCTTAATTACTTCATGATTTTTTTTGGTTGCCACAGTTAGAAAAGGGGGGAATTCTCACACACACGCAAAGAGGAGGGCACACACGCACAATGCCACGGGGGGATCGAACTGCATGATTCTTTCTTTGTTGCCACAATTAGGAAAGGGGGGAATTCTCACACACATGCAAAGAGGAGGGCACACACGCACAATGCCATGGGGGATCGAACTGCATACAGCTAGCCTGCCTGCCAACAACTCTACCATTGGGTTAAGACCCCATTGGCAATTACTTAATGATGTTTACCTTTGTCAATAAGTTGCAGATAACCTTGGTGTTAATTCGTCCCCATTCAATTTTTATTAGTTCATTTTTCCTACACAAGGTTAGAAGATGGATGAAGAAATACGAGGGTGGAATTAATAACAGCACTCCTAATTATAAAAGCAGAGGTATTAGCAAAGATGGATTGTCGTCATGCCATACATGCTGTCATAATGTACACACTGGCTGGATTCTTATTTCTTTTACAAGGCAGTGAAAGTTGACACACTATTATTTTGCACTACCAGATGTTAAAAGTAGATAGCAATTGCAAGAGAGAGTTTTGACAACACTTCTTAAACCCATATATCTGAAGTGCAGTCACCACCAGGGTATCTCATTTCATGTGCCAGTGCAGGACCATCAGGTTCAGCTCCAAAGTCAACGAAAAAATTTGGGTTTACTGCAAGACCGCCATTCTCAGTGTTAACATCAAGCTGTATTATGTGAGATCCTTTCGCCAAAAGGTCCGGGTAAAACTGGCCATCCCATGTACTGAAGAGCGAATTGGTGATGTAAAGTCGCTTCCCGTCCAAGCTTAACTGGATCATCTGTGGTCCAGCTCTCAACTTCTTTCCCTGAATGGAAGACATAAACTCTATCAATCTTACAAGGCAAACTATATTGCAAGGATATATATATATACCATTTGGTGGGCTGGATTATATGGCTTAATAGTTTGGTGGCCTAAAAACTACTTGGATTGGATTATGTCTAATCCTACCAGTTCCACATGTATTAGGATTATGAATCCTACCAAAAGGTTGAGATGTTGAATTGGATTATGTCTAATCTTGCTAGGCCACGTAAAAACATATTTCAGTTAATCCAGCCCCTTAATCATGTGTAGTACCAACACAACTGGATTAGTGTTATACTCCAATCCAATGTAATCCAATACAATCTCATAATCCAATCCAATTCCTACAGTCACCAAACATGGAATATATATGCCTCATAATATCGGATATATTTTTACTACAGTCGCAAACTGAATGAGACATATACACGGGATAAAGGTAGCACAAGAGATGCTACCTTCTCATGACAAGGTAGCACAAGAGATGATGCTAAATAAAAGTAGACCAACCAACTTTTTAATCTGGAGCAATAAAGGCTAAATGATACCTTCAGATACTAAATTGACACAGAAATAAATATCATACAAACCTGGATCTCTGGAACATCAAATTGACTTGTTGTACCATCTTCAGCCTCAGCCACAACTGGGCTTCCCTTTTGGATTAGCCCCCCAACCCATATTTGGCCTGTCAGCTTAGGATTTTTAGGGTCCTCAATGTTATACTGTCTCACATCTCCATGAAGCCAGTTCACAAAGTATAGAAAACGATCGTCAAGTGAGATTAAAAAATCAGTTATAAGCCCAGGCATCTCTGGAAGAATCCAGTTCTGCACCTTCAATGACTTCACTGATATTGCAACCTGGCAAAGTAAATTAATTTATTAGGTTTTCATGACCATGTACTTTTATTTTCTAAAAAAAGAAACAAAAAAATAATAAGATCAAAGAGAAATGTAGAACTAAATTCACAGACATGAAAATTGTAATAAATATGGAAATGCTTGGACAACAACAGGATTAGATATTGTGTGTGATACCTCATGACTCCACGAGCCATCTTCTGTCTTGAAGAACCGGACTATGTTACTTGTCAAGGCACACCCAACAAATCCAGTGTCCTTGGAAGGATCGTGCAGGAACCTTATCTGCAAACAGTGGGATTGAGTTATAAGATAGAGGCAGAGTCACTCATAATGTCTTAATAGGAAAATAAAACTGTAAATTAATATGAGGTAGTGTTGATTCAGTTTATATAACTCACCTCCAAGGGTAAGAGCCCTGTATTTCCAAGATCCAATGTTTGTTTCAATTCGCCTTCAGGCCAGCTGTAGACATGAAGATGCCTCCCATAGAGACCATCAGCAACATGCTGAGGGTTAAAACCTTTTGTGAAAGCAGCAGGGGCACCCCATGATGTGCTTATCATTGTCTTGTGTCGCGGTTGGTACCAGTAATCATAGCCAAAAAGTGGACTGTGCCCTGGTTTCTCCCACCTGACAGATTTTAGGACAGCTAGAAGTTAGATGTGCTCATAATTGTGGTAGATGTAACAAGCATGATCAATCTCATGTTACATGTTGGTAATACTTTATATCGTAAAAATATCTACCAAATATTATGCAGTCATACACACGTACATTATGTGTGTCTGTGTGTGGTAAAAAGATGACAATTTATTCAAAATCTACATAAAATGAGTTGAGTTTTACAACAGAAGATCTTACCTGCCCTTCACATTAAACTCAGCGTCTAGGAGAAGAAATCCACTTCCTGCAGCACTTCCATCTTTATCTCCCAGGCATGAAACCAATAAATCGCCAGAAGCAAGGCAATGGGATGTGTGTGGGTATGCCAATCCAGTCTTCTGTATGATCTCTTCAGGTTCAACAACTTTATGCAAAGAGGGAGCCCTTGGATTTGTTTTTGTGTCTATCGCATATATACGACCAGATCTAAAAGATAGAATAGGCTTAATAAGAAGTATATAACGAACAGCTGATTCTATGTATTTGATGGGCGAAAAAATACTTTTAAGCCTACACGTAGGTAAATCATTGAAAGACCTCACTTGCCATCTTATGGAAAGGAGTTGATAATGCTTAAGTGATAATTAAAGCATGTAGAGAACTTGGAGAATAGATTGACTGAGGGGAAAAATGAACACCAAAATCTATTACTATAGCCCATAAAATCACAATACTAGTCTCTCTGTAAGAAGATACTGATGTAAAATTTTCGGAGAACAGACTGACAGCCCAGTCAAGCCAAAACAAAAAAATGTTTGAAACTCTAGTTTTTCTCGCATTAAATATAAACAAGGATGTCATTACTAGAAAATCTTTTAAATGCTATGCAAATGTAAATCTTTTAAATGCTCTGGAAATGAAAATCTTATAAATGCTCTGTAAATGAAAATTAAACTTTCCTATTCTATGAGAACAGTTAGCAGAAGACAATGAGTTCAATTGAACAGCTTACACTGCTTAATTTACATGTAATGCCTAAGTTCTTGACTCAAATTAAGAAAGGTAGCTTTGAAAAAAGATTACATGCCAACTTATATGTGCTCTCCCCTTCTACCAAAGTTGCACCACATTCGCATACATCAGTTGTGCTTTTAAAAGACCATTTCAGAATCACAAATAAGGGACAGATTCTGAATTGATACAATTTACAAGCATCAAGAAAATTCAAGTTTGAAAAGTTGATCTATGCAGATTCTTAAATCTCAGTTTTCGTTTTTCTCTGTCCTAAACAGTTGGCTGCCCAACCAAATGTTTCACTTGCTTCAGTTCATAACAAAAGGACTGTCTTATCAAAATAACTCATTTCCCATTAAAAACAAAAAGTACGAAATAAAAATCGATGCGACATAAAACTTAATCTCTTACATTAATGCAGGTAGGACCAAGAAACGCCGTTGTGCAGATGGATCTCCATAGCAAGAACTGCATGAGTTCCAGCCCGTATGATGCAGTTCATCACCAATATAAGGCACAGGCAGCCTGTGGATGACTTTCGAATAAGTAGGAGAACTTGGATCTACGTCAACTGTGGCGAGATAATCAGGCTTCTGTATTCCGGTTCCTGTTATATTTTCATTTTGAAGAATTAACATCATATTCACAACTTCATGTCAAATGTAAGGAAAAAAAGAAAAGTCCATATAAACTCCATAAGCAATAATTTAAAGAAAGAACAAATCAAGGAGATAAATTCATATAAACAAAAACACAAACAAGAAAAAGGTTCAATTCTCTCCTCCCAAACCATTTGTACAACATAACAAAGCAATTCTTCTACCATCAAACACTTAAAAAGGCCATTGAAACCAATTTCACCTTGACAAATTAACTGTCTCTTATTACCCTATACCTCTTTAAAGTTCAAATCTTTTATTGTATCTGGCTAATCAAAAACTAGATCATCAAGATGGGTTTTCTTTGCAACCTTCTAATTCAGGCTTGTACCAAGAAAATCAGCCCAAGCACAGAAAACAAATTGAAAAACCAAGAAACTCAGACATATCCAAGAAGAACAAAAGCTCAAATCTTCATGATGAGACCAAAAGTGGAATTGGGTACCTGAGTAAACGGCAGTGACATAGATGAGAGCCTCTTTTGGACCAGACATGGCGTCCAGTGGGGTGGCGTACCCTGGCCCAGTTTTGCAGCATGCTGCTCCATTGCCCTGCCTCTTCCCTACTGTCTCATGTTGCAGAACCGCCACATCTGTAGCCATCTCTCTCTCCTATATCTTCTCTCTCTCTAAAAGGCTGTGATAAGATGAATAAAGAAGAAGATGATGAAAATTATGAAAAAGAAGAACAGTAAAGGAGCTCTTTGCACTCTCACACAACACGTGAAGAAAGGAAGAAGCAGAGGGATGGACAACGAATGCATATGACGTGGCAGATTCCTATAAATCGTTTTCGTCCGTATTTGGTCAACGTTTTTGTCTTCATTCGCATGTGTCCAGGGGGGATGTATCGGGTATTTCCTTTTTTCGGTAACAATGTATCGGGTATTTCGCTGTTCAGGTTTGGAAAGTCTAATGCATCTTACTGTGTTCGATGAGACGGCTGAAACTACACCACGTGTCATGATACAAGTGGATCAAGCCTCGTTGCTTTTGATGACAATCATCCGAGTGATCGAAGTGTGTGAACTAGGCAAAGACTTTGGTTACAGGGATTTTTCTTAAATTGGTTTCGTTTGGATAAGGTCTGTGTGAATTCCATTTGTTAGGGCTTTTTGGGCTTCTAGTGATTTTTCTTGTTGGAATCTTGACCGAATTACATAAAAGATAAGAACGAAGATGACATTGGCTTAGAAAATTAGTTTGAGGAATTGTAGAGCCATGACTATTCTAATTTTATCAAGCACCAGATAACCACAGATCTGAAAATGCTTGGTGGAAGATCTTTGTCCAAATAAAAGCACATGTGTTTGACTATGAGTTAGTTTCTCAGTGAGTTTTGTGTTGAGTTCGAATAAGCTCATTTATTTACTCATTTATTTTCTTTGTTATGTATCCACTACTTTTATAACTTTACCAACTAGTAATTCATCTAGTCAATGCTGATTAAAGAATAATGGGAAAACTATTCAACATACATTAGAAAGGTTAAGCCCCCAGCGCACGCACGGTTTAAAGCATCTACAATCACGTTCCCAAAGCTATTTTAGGAGCTCTCTATAAAATTTGAACTTCAATTATACTCTCTAGTTTAGAGAATCATAAATACTATAATTATTTTTTAATTCAATATAATTAGTCCATCTCTATGCAAAATAATATTAAAAAATAGTTTGCATTAATTAAAAGTTTAAGATATACATAAAACGAAGCAACATTAAATTATAGGGAGTGACTAGAAGTCTTTTCTCTCTCCTCATATTTAGGAGCTCTTAAATGTCTCCCTATTTTAGGAAGTGGATAGAGAGCATGGTTGGAGTTGTATTTTTCCAATTCCTCTTTATAATTTGTCTAAGGAAGTGGTTTAGTGAGCCCATTGTGGATGCTTTTAACAACTGATGAAGAACTCGAAAAGGGAAGGGATACCAAAAAAATATAGTTTCACCAAAAGTCATTGCATGAACATTCCCCGTTAGAAAAATGGTGGTATCTAGTGGCATCTCGAACAACAATGTCCCTCTTCACAATGCTGCTTATGAATTTCAGTACAGTATGACAATCTCCACAGACACGAAGATTTTTCACTATCCGGATAACTGTCCCTGGAACAGCCTTAAGCAGCCCATAAGCCACTGCCAACCTCTCACTATGCCAAAATAACTGCCTTTCCTTCTCTTGGTGCTCCATGTCATGTAAAACAAAGCTACTATCAGGAACATAGCCTCTTCTCCTCATCTCTGCATCTAAATCCTTAAGCAAACTGAACATCTCATCCTTCATAGGATGAGATGTCTCTCCAGCATAAAACACTTGGGTTTCCTTTCCAATGTCAATGCAACTATAACCAGGCTTCTTCTTAACTTCTCTAGCTGCCATCAACTTTCTCACCTCTGCTACATTTTCCCACATACGGGCACCGGCATAGACATTAGACAATAGTATATAAGTTGAAGGGTCTTCTGGTTTTAAGCTTAAAAGATGATCAGCAACCCTGATTCCCGTTTGGGTATCCCCATGATGCTTGCAAGCACTTAATAAAGCTGCCCAAGTGGGTTCATCCGGCTCAAAGGGCATTGAATCAATAACATTTGAAGCTTCACCAAGGTGTCCAGACCGACTAAGAAGATCCAAAAAGCATGTGTAGTGCTGCAGAGAGGGGCTAATTCCATAATCCTCCATCATGGATCTGAAAAGAGCACGTCCTTTGCTAACTAAACCAACATGGCTACATGCATAAATCAATCCAACAAAGGTAACTTCATTTGGCTTTATTCCAACTGCAACCATTTCATCATATAAACTCAATGCTTTCTCAGCTTGCCCATGCTGAGCCGCCCCAACAATTATAGAAGTCCAAGAAACTACATCTCTTTGATGCATTCGACCAAAAATATCCTTAGCAGCTAAAATGTCACTGCATTTTGCATACATATCAACTAGTGCATTACTGATAAACAAGCAAGACTCATAGCCAAGACGTATAACTAGACTGTGAACCTGCTTTCCAAGCTCCAGTACTGCCAAATTAGCACAAGCTCCAACAATGCTGGAGAGAACTAATGGGTCTACTATATGAACTCCCTCTCTTCTCATTTCAATAAACAAATAAAGTGCATCAACACCATGTCCACTTTGTACCAACCCAGATATCAACGCAGTCCAAGAAAACAAGTTCTTAACCGGTAACCTCTCAAACATTTCAAAAGCATCTGATTTCCTTCCACTTCTGGCATACCCTGAAATCATAGCAGTCCAAGAAATCACACTTTTGGACAAAATTGAATCAAAAGCTGCACGAGCATTATCAGGTAATCCACATTTCGCATACATATCAACCAGAGACGACTTCACAACATCATCAACACAAAACGGGGACAAAAAAAAGCGGGCATGCACTTGCTTGCCTTGTCTAACAGCCCCTAAGCTAGAGCAGGCCTTGACAACGCTGGCAAACACAAAGTGGTCCGGCTGCAAACCATCAGACTCAAACATAGCGGGGAACATGGAGAGAGTTCGGTGGGGCATGTTGGCTTGGTTGTGGGCAGTGAGAATGGAAGCCCACGAGACATGGTCTCGGTGAGGCATTTCGTCGAACAGGTGGAGCGCGTCTTCGACTAGACCGCATTTGCCGTACGTATCCAAGAGGGTGTTGGGTAGTGGAACGCATAGATGCAGGGCTGTTTTGATGAGTTGAGCGTGGAGTCTTTTGGCGGTAGAAGGCGTCCGGCGTCTGGCACAGAGTTGCAGTTGGTGTAGAAAGTGAGACGCTGGCATTCATGACCTTCACTGTATAAAAGCCCACCCGCTGGTCAGACTTTTATTGCCCAAGTTATCAATGACAAGTACAAGGGCTATGCATTTTTACGTTTCCCTCTTCTTCTACCCATGTCGTTTTAATATTTTAGGGTTTAGTGGTGCACTTGTATTTCTTAGATCCCCCTTTTTTATTCCGCCGTCTCTATTTCATAAAAGTTTTTATTTGTTTTTTGATAACAAAGTTTAAATTATTCTAAATTAAATTTAGGGGGAGGGGAACTCGAACTTGAGTGCAAGAGGACGGGCTCACTTTCCTGGCCAACTAACCTAACCCACATATGCCAACCACTTGTATGGTTATATGTTGTATTATATACATTTATGATTATTATATGATTTAATGGAAGCAAAAACTTTAATTAAACAAAGGGATAATTACATTTTTGGTCACTAGAGTTAGGGTCGAATTTAATTTTAATCACCGAAATTTCAAAATTTCAATTTTGGTCACATCAGGTCAAATATTTCAATTCCGTCAATTTTATTAATTAAAAAATATATTTTTAATATTTAAATTAAAACTAAAGAAAATAATTTTTTACTCTCTCTCTCTCTCTCTCTCCCTTGACAGCCATAACCACCCAACCTCAATCTCTTTACCCAACCTCTCAAATTCAAACTGCTATTGGAGCTTCATGATAATTCCCAAAAGCAAGCCCGCCCTACAGGGTGTGCGGGCTGGGCGACGACATAGGGCCCCCACAAAAATAGGGCATTCTAACCGTTGGATCAAATTGGTAAGCCTGATCCAACAGTTAAGAGCTAAGATCTCACCTAATGGCCATATATAAGGCCTTCACTATAGAATGACTCTAAGTATGCTAGCAAAAAAAAAAAAAAAAGCATTTTATGTGTGAAACTAATGCTTTTTCGGCTTTCCTTTTGAACTCTTTTGGGCCTTTTTCTTTATCTTTCAAATAAATGGCCATTTTTTCACTTAAACTAACCTACTTACCCCCTAAATTTGAAACTTTTTATTAGAATTTTTGTTCAAATGAGGTAAGTGTTAAAGGCCTCATTTTTCATTTTTGTCGAGGGCCTCCAAAATCAATGGACCGGCCTTGCCCAGAAGCCTTCTCTCTCCTCTATCTCTTCCCACCTTCCCCACCTCCTCACGGCCATCACCACCCACCCCACCACCTCCCATTCCCCAGCTCCTCACGAAGGAGTATCTTCCATAATGAAAACCATGATAGAGAATTGCACAAGTATTAGTGTGTGTCATAGCAAATGCGGAAGAAAAATATGCAAAAAAAGAAGAAAAAAAAACTAGTCGAAGAGAGAGAGAGGGGTGGGTTATGGGGTGCATTGGAGTGGGATGGGGAGGGTAGGTGGTTGTGGGTGACAAATGGAAAAGAGAGAGAGGAGGGGATGGGCACGTTGGTTTTGTTATTTCCGGACGGGGTATATTCGTGTGTTGATTCTTCACCCTTTGACCTTCCTTCTCTCTCATCATCCTTGATCCCTGCGAAAAAAGTTGGAGTAAATAGACCACACCCCAGTGGTGATGGCCAAAGGCTCTCCAATGCCTAAGTCAGTTAAATATTCATAAGAAAGATACTAAGATAATAGAAAGGATGGAGGTCCTCTCTCAAGGGGAGACCCTGGTGGTCAGAGTCGTGTGTGTGGGTGACTGAAGCTGTGAGGGAGAGAGAGCCAAGAGTGGCATGAGAGAAAGAGAGCTTTGGTTAGGGTTTTAGAATTAGATCTTGTGTGTTGTGTAGCCATGTATTTATAGACTCCTTGAAGACTAGGGTTTGAAGAATAATCATTATTTGGTTAGGATTATTCTTACCTATAAATAGGAGATTGGAATTAATCAAGGAGATTTGATGGAAATCTCATCCTTGATTTGGGGAGATATTCCCATATTAAATCAAAGATAATTTTCCTAATTAAATATGATTTAATTAGGA